CTATACTCCAATAAATTTTTTAAAAAAGACTTTAAATCTACTTTCAACAATTTACACTTAAATATAAAATGTGTTTGACTTTCTAGGTATTTTAGCATCCTCCTCCAGCTATTTCAATGAACAGAAACTTGATTTTATTCTTTGCTATTAAACTGCAAGTTAGGTCCTCAAAGTATAAAACTGGTTAAATAGGAGGAAGTAAAAGTCAGAACTGAAATTCAAATATTTATCATATAATCACACAGATTATTAAAATATGTAAAGATCTTCATTCAAGTTGATAAATTACTTCCGCCCCACCTCCCATTCCTAATGCCCAATTTATCTTTCACCACTCTAGCAGTCTCCCCTCAATCTTAGGTTTAATATTAGACAGAAGGGGGCTGCTGTCTCCCTGTTCCAGCTTGATGGCCACTGTTCCTTCTGATGGCTTGTGCTTATTCTGTAGTGGTGAATTTTATTACTGATAGATGTTTTAAGTAACTTGAATTCAGAGATAGTTCTCCCATTCATAGAGACCATTTCAGAAATCTCATTTTGAAAGTAAAAGATTACCACATAATCTTTCCCTAATAAGACAAATTTGTGTTTCTAATAAAGGACTCATACCATTTCTAGCTTTTAAGGGATAGTCTCCTTTAAAAATAAGCATAATAATTTTGTTTATTATATATAGATGAGTGGCATTGTTACTTTAAAATCAAATAACATAAATTTCTTTTCCTGCACTCCAGAAATTAAAGATAAATGAATACATACAAAGCAAAATTATGTCATATAAATTACTCATATACCATTAAACTACTATTTTGTTTGTATTCACATATCTCTAAAGTAAAATGTCACTGTATTATCTTAGCTGCAATAATTGAAAACATAGTATGTCTATTATTACAAAAACTAAGAATGAAGGATAATAATACTATTATTACCTGAATATTTAACCTAAAATCTGTTCTTGATCATAATTCCCTCCTAAATTCTATATTTGGGAATTTTTTTCAATGTTTTCCAAGACTAATTTCCTTGTAGTATGGGATGATAGCTATATGTTCTAAGGAAAGCTTATTAGAAAGTAAAATCTTAGCTAGGGTCTTCAGCAGAGTCTGTGTTTGAACCACTGAAATACAAAGAAGAATGTACTCTATGTGATGGATCAATATGAATTAAGGTAGAAATCAGGAACAAGTGCTGTTTGTCCTTTGTCCTAATTAGGATGAGTATCCAGAAAATAAAATATATGTATACATATGTGAAGTTGGAATCAAGATTGCCAGGAGAAATATAAATAACTTCAGATATGCAGCTNGCAAAGAGTTGGACACAACTGGGTTACTGAACAACAACAACAAATACATGCATATATTTTTCCCAATCCAATTCTCAATTCCTAACATCTACTTATATTACTTCTCTGGAATATATGCATTTCACTCATGATACTCCTCTCTTATTATAATAATATTCAAAATAATAACTTAGTTATAACTGGTTTGAATCATAGAAACAGTTGTTATTCATTCAATGTGCAGCACTCTCTGAATCAGGATGAGAGAATCATCACTATTCTAGTGGGACTTCTATTCTTTTGGTAGTTGCCTCTTCTCTGATGTCCAGCTGAAGTAGGTTTAGATCTTTGATGTCCCATGTAGTGTGTGATTATACATTCTTCAGAGTCATTCTTCTTATTTAAAACCCCCGACTTAGTATGGGCTTCAAATCTGAATTAATGAGGAAAGTAATTATGCTCTCCAGTTTCTCTAAGAATCTTTTCAAATTATTTGCATGCTCCATCAATGTATTACACTTTTTATATATTTGCCAGTTTTTGTCCCCCAGATATACTTTCCATTTCCTTGAAGGTCCCTTTTTGCTGACAGCTCTTTCCCTCTTTTTCCTTACATCCAGAATAAACACTGACACATCCTTGAGTCTTCAAAACATAGCCAACAAAAATCTTCACAATGTTAACTCACTACATTGAAGGTTCAGGGATGAAATTATAAGGCAAAGAAGAAAAATATAAAGAACAGAATATTTGTAGCAGATATTCTCCTAAAATGAACACTAAACACTTCCTTCTTGATCTTCTCATGAATAGATGCATCCTACTTCCTCTCCTTTAAATANATTTGTAGCAGATATTCTCCTAAAATGAACACTAAACACTTCCTTCTTGATCTTCTCATGAATAGATGCATCCTACTTCCTCTCCTTTAAATATGAATACAACCTGTGGTGTGCTTTGACCAATAAAATGTCTTGGAAGTGATGTGGTATTAGTTCTGGGCCTTGTTTTAAGACCTTTAGCTTCCACTTTCTTGAAACTCAGCTATTAATATCATGTTGTCAGAAAACCCAAACTATCCAACTACAAAGTGAGATCATTTATCCTGGAGGATGAATCACCACAGGGAAGGAGTCATTATGTGAAGGAAAGCTGAGGAGCCCCAGCCAGCAGACACCACCTTGGCCCCTAAGTGTATGAGAGATCTTTGTGACTGTCTAGACACACACATCTCCCAAATGAGTGCAACTGCATGTATGATCCCAGGGACACCTGGTTGAATAGAAGAACCACAAGGCCAACTGACAGAATCATGAGAAATGACAGCTGTTGTTTTAAGCTACTAAATTTTGGAGACGTATGTTATGCAAAATGTGAGAATCAAAATTGTCTTTGATATTACTTCTGACAAAATTAGTTTGCCAGAAGGAGAGATATCGTATGACATCCTTTATATACAGACTCTAAAAAGAAATGATACAAATGAACTTATTCACAAAACTTAGAATTCTCACAGACTTAGAGAACAAACATGGTTGCCAGGTGGAAGGATGGGGGAAGGGTTTGGGATCGACATGTACATACTACTATATTTAAAATGGATAACAAACAGGGACATACTGTTTAGCACAGGGAACTCTGCTCCATGTTATGTGGCAGCCTGGATGGGAGGGGAGTTTGGGGGAGAATGCATACAAGTATACGTATGGCTGAGTATCTTTACTGTCTATCTGAAACTGTCACTCATTGTTAATTGGCTATACTCCAATATAAAATAAAAAGTAAAAGAAATCAGTTTGCCAAATCCTTTCATGGGGAGTTGCCTGCTTGGTTTCTCTCACTTAAGTTCTACCTTCCCTTCACCATGATGTAGAAGCCAGTTTACATCCCACGAAGAGAAATAAATTCTTGGGACTCTTAACTCACTCCTAGGAGCCCAGATTCTTAACTTATTGAGGCATTTTTTTGGTTTGTTATTTTTAATTCATTGGTTTTGTTTTATACTGTGGCAAAATTCATTTAACACAAAACTTCCCATCTTAGCCACTTTAAAGTGTATAATTCTGTTTATGTAGACACTTACAATTGTGTGCAATGATCACTGCTATATGATTCCAGAACTTTTCATCATACCAAAAGGCAACCTCATTTTCCTCAGCCCCCAACAACTATTAATTCTCTTTCTCTATGGATTTGTCTACTCTATACATTTCATATAAAAGTAATCATACAATATGTAGTCTTTTGTGTCTGTTTTCTCTCATTCATCATAATATTTTCAAAGTTCATCCATCCAACTCTTTGTTTTGTATAAAGAAACAAAGAAAGAAATCTTCCCTTGATCAGTATCTCTGTAGAAGCCCTACACTTTTCATGAGGATAAAAGCTTCAAAAGTGTTTCAATATTGCCTTTCAGAACTAAGATGAATGCATTACTTTTGCCTAACTAAAATGCCCTTTGGAGCTGTTTTTGCCTTCCCAAGTGAAACAGCAGCTCTCTTATAAGAAGTGAGTTCTGTAGCCACTCCTGTGCAAAAACCTCAGGCAGCTTTAGGTTGAGTAGATGGCCTGCAATATTTACACAGAAAGCCAAGAATTCCCACAGTGATGAATTTTATGTGTCAGTCTGACTGGAACACAGGGTGTCAAGATATTGGCCAAATGCTATTCTGGGTATGTCTGTGAAAGTGTTTCTGTATGAGATTAACATCTGAATCTGTAGACTGAGTAAAGCAGATTGCCCCCTTTAACGCGGCTNGGATGGGCTTAACATCTGAATCTGTAGACTCAGTAAAGCAGATGGCCATCCCCAACATGGGTGGGCCATGGCTATTCAGTTGAAGGACTGAATAGAACAGAAAGGCTTAGGTAAGGGGAGACTTTGCCTGCCTGATTGCGTGACCTAAAACATTGCTTTTCTCTTGCCCTTGAATTGAAGCTTAAACATGGGCTCTCCTGGTCTAAGGCCTTCAAATTGGAACTGGAACTACACAACTGGTTGGGTCTCCAGCTTGCCAACAATAGATCTTGGGAACTTCAGCATCCATAAGGGTATGTGCTAATTCCTTAAAATAAATCTCTCTTTCTACCTGTATATTCTACTGTTTTGTTTCTCTGGAGAACCCTGATTAATACATACTCATACACATATCAACACACTTATATATACACACATACATTTATATATAACACACTTTTTGTATCTTTAATAAATAAAATTCACTTAAAGTATATTTTTTTTAAACTTTTGATTTATTTTATATTGGAATATAGCCAATTAACAATGTTGTGATAGTTTCAGGTAGACAGCAAAAGGATTCACCATACATATACATGTATCCCTTCTTCCTCAACCTTCTCTCCCATCCAGGCTGCCACATAACATGGAGCAGAGTTCCCTGTGGTATACAGTAGGCCCTTGTTGGTTATCCATTCTAAATATAAAGTGTGCATACATGACATTACTATTTACACTGTACATACATATACATGCTCACACACACACACACATACACACAAAGAAATAAATACTAGATAAGGGTGGTCAAATTCCCATTAAATTTCTCAAAATATACCTTATAGCAGATGCCACCTGAGAATAAAATGCAAGAGGTCACTTCTGTGTATCAGTCATATAGAATTGCCTAATATGATGTATTTGGGAAAAAATAGTTCAGTTTGGTTTGAATTCCAATTTGCTCTCCTAAATGCAAGTACTCAGAATTCCAATGAGTTTATAAATGTCAAAGGAGAAATGAAAAGCTTTAACTTACTTACCTCTTAATATTTTTATTTGTTTCAGGATTTACTTTAATAAGCCCATTGAGGTCTTGCTTCCTTTGAGTAAGGAAATGAGTTTAATGAATGTCATTAAAATAAAACACTAATCAAGTGAACAATGATTGGAAAAATTAAGAAGCGATAAAATACACACGTTCTCTACCAATGTAATTTTCAAAGCTCTAAATGCAAATTAAAATTCTTCTCTCATATCCTGAGCTAAAAACCATTTACGTTTCTTAATTTATCAACAAGAAACTTAGCATGTTTCTGTTTTATTCTCAAAATATGTATGTATACATTAAATTACTTGCTATTTAACAAAATCCACCTTGCCCTCCGATACATCTTATTAGAATATCCCAGATGGGTGGCACTGAAGTAATCTAAGCTATTAATAGATAAAGTTCTATACTGGATCCAGATATAATGTAAATTTCCATCTAATAAATCAGATATAAATTCCTGTTCTATTTTTACATGACAGTAACAATATAAATAATATAAATAATAGTTTTTCAGTATTAAAACTAATAAGAAAAATATATGTCTTCATATAAATGCAACCACTCCCCCAAATCAAACCTTTTAGAACATAATTAGATTGTGTGTGTGTGTTAGTTGCTCAGTCATGTCCAACTCTTTGTAACCCCATGGACTGTAGCCCAACAGGCTCTTCTGTCCATGGGATTCTCCAGGCAAGAATACTGGAGTGGGTAGCCATTCCCTTTTCCAGGGGATCTTCCCAACCCAAGGATCGAACCCAAGTCTCCTGCATTGCAGGTGGGTTCTTCACCATCTGAGCCAACAGAGAAGCCCATAATTAGATTGTGGTAAGTTATAAGAGCAAGAAAAAGGCCTTAACATGGTAGGAAAATAAATGACTCACTTCTTGGGGAGATGCATGTTTCCTCCATTAAAAGGCACTGAGAAATATCAGAAAGGGCAGAGCTCGAATCCAAAGGGGGCAGTAGGAGATGGCAGAAGTACTGCAACTGGGCACTGCTGCCTTGTGGACCCAGCTCTGAGCAAGACCAGGACGAGAGGCTCTTACTCACAGTGTACCTGCCCAGGGCCTCCCCTGGACGGCCTCTGGGCCACCATCCTTAGAGAAGTTGATTGTCAAGAGTTTTAGTCAAGCCTTACTCTTGGTTACCTTGGCCATTTTAAAAACTCACTTTTAAAATGTCAAGATTGTACTTTCTTTAGACACAAAGAAATTCAATTCAGTAACTCACCTCTAAAGCCAAACCAAAATCTGGGAGAAAAGGCAACTTCCTATCAAACATTTGGGACAATTCTTCAAAAATAAGCAATTTCATGGGGAGCAAGGAGGAAAGGTCATGTGACCCATCATTCTTATCCAATTCCATGCTACTAAAACATATTTCTGAAATTAAAGTGCCAAATCATGTTAACTTTGTGCTTCCCTGTGGCTCAGATGGTAAAGAGTCTGCCTGCAATGCAGAAGACCCAGGTTTGCTCTCTGAGTTGGGAAGATCCCCTGGAGAAGGACATGGCAACCCACTCCAGTGTTCTTCCCTGGAGAATCCCATGGACAGAGGAGCCTGGCAGGCTACAGTCCATGGGGTTGCAAAGAGTCAGACATGACTGAGTGAAAGGTTATGTAGCCCCTCATTATTATCCAATTCCATGCTAGTAAAACATGTTTCTGAAATTAAAATGCCAATTCATTTTATCTTGTCACTTACAGAAATCAGATTTAAAGACACTAGTATGTCTTACCCAGTGGTGTTTGCACTTTCTTTGGGATTCACTTTGATAATGCTATCAAGGGCTTCACTTCTTAAAAAAAAAAAAGAAAATTAGATCAGTTTTAAAGTATTCCCATAGTATTTTTTAATATACACATTTCACATTATTGATGATTAATTCAAGATTTTGGAGAAAATTATTATACTAGTATTAAATTCATTTTTGTTTTAAAACTTATCTATCAATAAAAAGTTAACTTAATCTCTAGGATTCTATTGGGCCATGTAAATTTAAATTAAGATAGAACGTACTATAGACTCTCCAAGGTAAAGCTCGGGGCAATAGGGTTCAGACACAGAGGAGAGGAGCCAGGCTCAAAGATATGTCCCCCTTCAGTAGACTGAGAAAATCACACAGCTAACCCGGAGAAAATAACCAAGATTCGGAAACATAAAATCGGATCTCACCCTCTGCTTGTCTGATCTGTCGTGGCATTTGCTTTAATAACCTTTTTGAGATCTTGGCTTCTTTGGGAAAAACATGAAAACCTTATATCAGTTAGGTTGCATTCAGTTTTCTCTGGAAACCGTATAAACAAGAACGTCCCTGAAAGGGTGTCCGATGTTTCCAGGGCCAACTGACTGGAGAAATTGTGATGTAATTTTTCCTTAACTTATCTTTATTAATTTCCACAGTTTAGAAAGTCTCCCCCACGACTTCCCTGGTGGTCCAGTGGTTAAGATTCTGCACTCCTAATGCAGGGGACCCAGGTTCAATCCCTGGTCAGGGAACTAGATCTCTCATGCCACAGTTAAGACCCAAGACAACCAAATAAATTAAACAAAAACAAAAAAAAAAGACTTTACCAACACACCTCTCACTTTGCTTTTTTGTCCTTTATATTTCTCAATTTAAATAGAAAATTTGTCTCATTTTTAAATTAATTAAGATAATACAGAATAAATTCAACAGCAGATTTCTCACAATAGGAGTAAGATGTTATCAGTACCTAAAACATCAGGAATCTTTAGAAAATATTTAATTCAAGCAGCTCTTCTCGTGCCAAATGCTGATATGCTAACTATCCTATAGTGAGGACCCAACCATGACTCAGTCATGATTGGTTCAGTTTAAAAGTTCTTTCCACATTTCAACTTTTGCTTTCTTTATCCTTCGAGGGTGGGTTGGTGGGAAGCTAACTTTAATACATGTGTTGAGATATTGTCTGCCTTAAACATGAAAATCATTCACATCAAGGGTGGAAATCAGAGGATCAACATTTTGAAACTAAACACTTTGAAGACTTATAAAAATCATCTTTAATAAAAAAGCAACCTTGGAAAAGTAGAAATAATTCTATGATGACTCCAGTACTTTATATGAATTGGTCACAACCAATAAAACTTTCAGAGGCTGATAGCTTAAAACAGGGAAAATGAAAGCTAATCTCTCTAAATCCCGCAATTGTTCAATGTTATTTTCATCTGTCTCTGTCTTTCACTGTGATAAGACTGTTGACAATCTGAGGTTTTCTTTCTGTATAAAGAAGAAGGAGGGAAGAAGGAAAAGGAATTATGCCTGCCCCCTACTACATCATTGAGAGCTGTCTTTTCTGCATCAAAGCCCAGTCGCTATCAAGTTATCCCAGATCACAAATCATTCCCTTTTTCCCTCTTCCCTAGCCCATACAATGATTGACTTGTGATACTCATCTCCCTTTCCCTAATTTCCACCACTTTAATGGAACTTTCCAAATTTCATTTCTTAAAAAATCTGAAATCTCATCATCATCTCTGAAACTCACACAACCAGTTACAGAGAATTGACTGCTTTCTCACTTCATCTGTTCTCTATTTGGGAAAAAAAAACCCAAAATCACCTATAATAATGCTTACACATTCATGCTATACTAATAAGTTGTTAATAAGTATTTGATGTCTGAATGGAGGTGGTGATTGTCAACACTTTTTACTATATAGACTTTGTTAAGTGTTCTGCATTAGAGAGGGTTAAGAAGGCATACTGCCAAGCTTGACCAGGAAAGCTAGAATATCTGCCTGTGCACAGATTGGCACAGATTAATGGTTTTTAAAGATAACCAGGACAATAGAAATCATCATGTTAGGAAGGCAAATCTAATGACTAACCGGATACAAGGTAAAAATAGCCAATCTGGAGAAAAAGCAGTAGAGACCTCATAAATCTTTAGCCTTATGCAATTCTTGATTGTTCTGGGATTTTCTTTAATGAAATTGTCAAATGTTTGATTTTTTTTCAACATGAAACATAATATCAGTAGTAATTCATTTTCTTGTATATCACTGTCAGTCTAGAACTATAAGTTAACTTCTTTAAGTGTTCAGTTACTGACCATTAATTAAGCCTTTTTATGATACAAAGTCAATAAAAACATGGCTTTTGACGTTGAAATGTTTACAAGTGCATCTGAGTGATAGACAAATGAAGAGAGTTGATCAACATTCCAACTGAAAGATGGTTTAGTCCCTGGTAAAGACTTCAGGGGTGAGGGGCTATACTACTGGCATCAAAATGTCTTATATTGACTATATTTAGTGCTTAAACCAGCCTATTGTCCACTACTTCTAGTGAGCTGTTTGGCTTCTTTCACGTTTAGATGTAAAAGAGAACTTGGAGACCATTTATTTAGATCATACCCTTCATTTTATGGATTGAGGAAACAGAGGCCACTTGTCCAGGGTCGCCCTGAGTGATCCTGGTGACAGAGGTAGCACCAAGACAGCCCCCCCATCTCCTGACCCTGATCAAGGGTCTGTTCCACTAGCCTGTCTGACTCTTGTTTTGAGCAGAAGGTCTCCCCCAGGAAATGGCACACAGTTTAGGAATCAATCAAAAAAGGCTATAAGAGTCTCAATCAAATCTTACCCTTTGCCATCTTTATCTGTCCGGGTATTCACAAAGATGAGATTTTCAAGGCTTTTGGCTCTATAAAACACAAAGAAATTAAAATAAGAGACTGCATATTGAAAAAAAATTATGTGTTATCTTGAAAGGTCAGAAACAGTAAAAAATTTTCATGAATTGCTCATTTACTCTTACTGAATAGAGCAGCAGAAATCCTTCTGGGCAATTATGTCTGAACTAAATGTACAATACTGAGTGCACCGCCCCATCTGTTAGCACATTTTTATGCCAGAGGAGAGAACTCCCTTCCAGCTAATGTCTGAAAGAATAAAACAGCAATCTGGGAGATAATATTTTCAGGTTAGAGACAGATGCACTTACCGTTTCTCCGTTAATTCTGACTTAAGATTTGCTCTGAAGAGACCATCAAGACCTTGATTTCTTTAAAAGAATTGAGTAAAAAACCTTGTCACTATTAATGATGGATACTTAACTCATATAAGCAAAGATCAGTTTATATCTGAGACAGGAAATAGAAGTTGTTTGGGAAAGATGAACCACACTTCCTGCAATCACTTTATTCCAAACCGATTTTTTTCCTAGACTCAAATATTAAATTGCGGTGGACCTTGGAGAAAAGAAAAGAAGATACAAACTGGGGAGCCACAAGCTGTAATAAGTCCATTGTTTGCATTCAAGGAGCATTATTCTTTTTTAGTATGAGCCAATATTTACAAAGCTGGCCATGACATGTGGACACCTGGAGTTTCAGGATTTCCTGAAAATGTCCTGCAACTCTGGGCTCAAATTCTCACATTGCAACTGGAGCTGAGAAACATCCAGGCATCTGGGACAGGCACTCCCTCCATGTTTCAGAGCCAACTCCCTTCATGCATTTCTACCTGCCTGGCCTCATCAGACTGTGGAGTCTGATTCCTGATCTAATACCTCCTCTCTCTATAAATTAAAAAAAAAAAAAAAACTGAAAAGCAGCAAATCGCACTGAGTCGTTGGTAGTCATTTATTAATAAATCATTTTTGTCAATGCAGGGTATGAAAAATCACATCTCTTTATCATCAGATCTATGCACTCATTTGACATTTGCTTTGTTTCTCGTTCACTCTGGTACCTACTTATTTCATGCATTAGTGGGCCAAGTAACAGAGAGAGAACTAAAATTGCACTTCAAGCTTCAATTAATAAGATCTTTAAATTATGCAATTACAAATGGTTCAAAATAAACAGGTAATATTAACTAAGAAAATGAGTGGGTTTTGTAGTGATTAAACTAAAAGCATTCAGTGACCAAACAAAACTATTTACATACTAAATAACAGAAGTTCAGGAAGATAAATGTGTTTATTTTTATAACTGCTTTACTAAACAATGGTGTATGAAAATCAATAAGACTTTAATATTAGTACCTTTAGATTGTAATAACCATTTGTAACAATGATGAAATGATGATTTCTGCAAGCTTTTTGTTCAAGATTTGTAGGACACTTTTGACTAGCCCAGTATATGGGTCCTCATGCTCAAAACTGAAAAGTACCAAAGTGAATTCAGTAATAAAGTGAAAAAAAAAAAAAGATCTTACCTATTCAAACTTTTATTCATTTTGATGAGATTTTCCAATTCTTCACTTTGGGAAGAGAAAGAATGTCTCCCATCAGTAAAAGTCAGGGACAGATTCAGCTTAAAACAACTATTTCTGAGTTTTTTGAAGTTCAACAAACATCCCACCTTCATCATCCATGAAAAACATGTCTATCTTCCAAAGCTCTCCTCAGACAGACCTTTCTCCAAGAAATCTTTCCCAGTCCACAAAGTGAATAGAGTCCCCTACATTTTTGGAAGCCTTGCTGTGTTTTCAGTTTTTGTATCTCCTTTATGGTACTTACTTTGCATTACTTTGTAATGTATTAGGTTGGCCAAAAAGCTTGCTGGATTTTAAGTAAAAATAAGACATGTCTTTTAGATTCACCAAGAATTTTACTTAATAATGCATTGACTAACCAAAATTTTTGCCCAACGCAATAGTAGTCACACACTTGTCTCCTTGCTTCTACATATATGAGTGTGAGTGTACACAGACACACAGACACATATGCACATTCACACACCACTTACAATTTAGAACAGTTTTATATTGGATCCTCTCCAGTGTTTAATACAGAGTTTTTCCACACAGTAGATGCTTAATATAAGGTCAAATTGCATCAACAAATACAGATATATTGACTTATTATAGATTATATTTTTGCATAATGTGCTTGCACAGAGAAGCTTTTAGAAAACACCCATTTATCAGTAAGTCTGGTCTCTTTCTTGAATTGTATTCCCCCTCATTCCTGGTCAGCTAGATTTGCTCTCCTGTTTTTGTATATGAGAACTGTGAAGTCTATTGGCTGCTTCTTCAGGAGCTACCTGTTTAAGCCCAACCCCTGTGTTCTGGAATATTCCTTAACTCAGGCCTCTCCCTCAAGAAGGCGGCTGGAGTGGTTTTTCCTTCCTGTTTGCTCCTCACGGAACCTCCTCCCTTCATCTCTTCCATCTACCCGCTTTACCCCCATTTCTCTTGCCTTCCTCATCCAGTTTTCCAGTTCATAAATCTTGGTTCTCTCTTTTTCCTGCTCTAGAATCACAAATTTTCCACACTTCCTCAATGTTCCTCTTTCTTCTTGAGTCATCACTGGCATAGACCAGGAGGCCAAGTAAGTAGGTAGTTAGACATTCAGGTTCCCAAGTCAGGGATACTTGGATTCCAATCCAGGCTTTACTGCTTATTACTTGGTGACTGGGTGAGTTGTCTAAACTCCTGCTCCCTCAATTTTTTTCAGTTTCAAAATAAGACTACTAATCATCCCCGCCTCAGAAAAGAACCAATAAGTTAATGAATAGAAAGTGATTAGTGTGATGCCTAGCATGTCATAAACTCTCAATTAATTTTGGCAATTATAGTAAACAGTTCCCAGTCAATATTAATGTTTTCACTTTTAAAATGTTCATTACATTTATTTTTTAACCTGAATTTAGAGGCACCAAGACTTTGGCTCAGCTCTAGAGAAGTATAGTTACTCTCACTAACGAGCTTGGAGATGCCTGGTACAGCAGATCACCAGAATAGTTACTGGGATGGTCCTCTTAGGGACCTGAAAAACTTATTCAATCAACGGCCACCACAGAGATGAATCCTTTCAAGTAATAGTTCGTATTCAATGGTAGAGTCAAAGGCTGAGAATAAATATAGAAATCTGAAAGTTGCTGATCCTGACAAAAAACGGATTAATGTTCTATCCTTGCATGGGACAAACGTTACCCAGATCCTGACACAACGCTATATTGTCATCTCTTATTTGAAATTCTACCTTCCAACTCTGAGACTACAAATCTGTTCCATGTTCCCTAGGGAAAGAGCAAGCTCTATAGATTTTTGCTCCAAACCTTTCTGACTGGTCAGTCACAATGATGAGATTATCAGGATTTGGGGTTCCACAAGAAAATTAACATAGATCATGAGAAGACACTCTGTGGGAAATGAAGTAAAATGGAGACTGTATTCTGAATGAAGAAGCTGAGCTTTTAAAATGGCATCAAGTTGATGAAAGCTTGGATATTAAGTTTCACCACCGCATTTGCAATAAATTAAATGCTCTTAGTCAGATAGGAGTAATAGTCCATTTCCCAAAGGAGTATTACAAAGCAACTCAGATAAAAATAAAAGCTATATCAAGCCTTAGATATAGCCTAGAGCATCAGACATTTCCCCTGGTCCCCATCAAAGTAGCAGCTCCTCCCTGTGAAGAACGTGTCTGGCTGTGGAATTTGTGTATTGGGTGAGGAAGAGGGGACAGGAAAGCTAATCCAGCTGAAGCTCTCACTGTTTTTGCTTGACTGGTGCCAAACCGTAATTGCTCTTCGGCATCACTCACCTATCTGTCCCTTAAACACCTGTCAAAAAACTGTTCAATCCCCATAAAAATATTACCTCAAACAAAAATGAATAAATAAAATGAGAAATCTAGACAACAGAAGACTTAGACAATGGAAGAAATGAAAATGAAAAATTGAGGATACTTTCCACCGTCTCTGTCCAAATTTAGACTGTGTCCATGAGTTACAGAGAAGAGCTCACTGCCATTTCTGTGACTTCTCTTCAGGTCTTTGAGCTGGCACTCCTAACAACCCTCTTAGCACAGCTAACTTCCACTGAGCAAGGAAAAAAATTCTGTAAGCACAGGATTAAACCACGGAATATTTATACCCAAGGTTTCCTCACTGCTCAGCATCGTGTTACCGTTATCCACTATATAAACACTTCTACTTTGCACAATGCATTGTGTTAGACTTTGCAGATGACAGATGGTGAGAAAGACAAAGTATCTGCTTTAGGAGATTAAAGAGATAATAAAGAAGATGATACATTTATATAAATGCCACAAAACAATACTAAATATGATTAGCTGTTATGTAACTTGAATAATAGGACTCTAATCACTTAAGCAGGCAGAATCACATCTCACTGGGTCACTCACTTGGAAAAGACCTCACAAGGCGCTGGTATCTGATCTGGATCTTGAAAAATGGGTAGGACTTGAATGTATTGATATGGTGACCTTCAGGCTGGAAAAGGCCTCATGAATAGAATGGTATAAACAAAGGCAGAGGCTCTGGAAACTTCAGAAAGGAAGTGGTTTAATTTGGTACTGAATGTAGGATAAATGGAACTGGTGAAGTCCAAAATTGCTAAGGAATGTTAGGTCAGAGCCAGGTTAACAAAGGCATTGAATGAAGTTATATGTAATTGAATAGGCCATGGGGAGCCAAGCGGAGTGATTTTTCAAGCAGAATCATAGAAAGAAAACTCCAGCAGTGATGGGTAGTAATGGTCTAGTGGGAGAAGAGATTGGAGGAGAGTCAGTCAGTCTCAATAGCTACTCTGATAACCTGTAATGGAACCAACGAGGGTTTGAACTGGGTGAGGCCATGGGGTTGTGCAGGGCCCTTTAGACATTTAATCCATACATGCCTGATACTACATAGAGGGGTCAAGATGGAAGAATCAAAAACGATTCCAGAAAGGTGAGCTGGCCTGAATGAAAGAACACAGAGAAGACAGGAAATACCACCTTTGGGGAGGAAGTTGAAAATAACCTAGGACATTCTATATGGGGTTGTTGGGGAGATGGATAAGCACAGATCCGGGTCGGAACATAAATACAGGACTGGGGGTTTGGAGCAAGGTCACCACCATGAGCGTCACTCCACAGAAGAGAAAGCAGAGAAAGCAGAGTCTCCGTCAGTGTCAGTATTGCTCATTTCTCGGGAACACTAATCTAGAGACTGACTCTTTCTTCCTTCACGTTATATATAATAAGCAGCATCAGGATTTCATTCATATTTGGAAGATTTAAAGGTACTGGCTAAGCATTTTTGAAACAAAAAGAGAAGAAAATACGCAAGTTCAAAATCTCTTGAGCTCTCACCCCTTGTTAGTTTTCTGAAGCGAAGTGGCCACTTTGACAATGTTCTCCAGGTCCTGACTCCTTCAAACAATGAAAAATAAACTCAAGTCAATGACAGTTGAGCTATGCTTAAAGGAACTAAAGTATCTGTGTTCAGTGAAGAAAGCAAAAGTCCATATGTTATCAGAAATTACTGACTCTAACTGAGTAACAATAGCCTATCACATCAGCTCACAGCATTCACACACGGGCACACGTGCACGCGTCATTCCACCCGGGCATTGCCTCTGCCATCTAGTGCTCGCTGAAATTATTACAGTTTCTCCTAAAGACGTGTATCAGCTTTGTGCAAGTTACATACTTAAAGGATATGGGGGGGAAATTCAATTAACTGCACAAGAAAACACAGAGTATGTTCAGAAGTTTTTCTATCAACCAGAGAACATTATAATGTCACTGAGCATACATCCTTGGGCTTCCCTGCTGGCTTAGATGGTAAAGAATCCACATGCCAATGCAGGAGACCTGGATTCGATCCCTGGGTTGGGAAGATCCCCTGGAGAAGGGAATGGCAACCCGCTCCAGTATTCTTGCCTGGAGAATCCCATGGACAGATTTCCATGGACGGCAGGCTACCACTCATGGGGTCGCAAAGAGTCGGACACGACTGAGCGACTAACAGTTTCAGTTTTCAAGGGACATTGAGCAACATATTCAGAAGATCAATTAACCCCTTATATGAAGTGAAAGTAGCTGTCTTCTTAGACTTCCAAAGGGAAAGAAAGTACATTTAAAACTGTAGGGTATGTGGAATCACCTGGCATGTAATGGACTTAAATCTCTATGTCATGAAAAGGAATAATTAGGGAAAACCTTTTAGGTATAGCTGAATTAAGACCTGTGTTTCATAAACAATACTGTATAGAAAGTTAACAGAGTTCCATGAAGAAAGAATTTTGTAGTCAACTAAATTTAGGAAACATAACTGACTTTTAGAGATTTGGAATGTACATACACAAGCAGTGAAGGCTCTGGAAATTCATGATAGAGAAATCTATTCTCCTGTGTTTCCTAAATATGTTGGCCTTTAAATGCCTCTTTCCCAGAACATTCATTGATACCTTGTGGCACACGGGACATACTGTAGAAAATGCTGAGATACAACTGTACCTTAAGTCAGTAGGTACAAGGTACTCCCCCAAAAGGAAAGGTATCTGTGTGACATAAGTCTAAGAGTCAGGGGGAATAATAAAGAAAAAAAAATATAAGCAGCATCAGGATTTCATTCATATTTGGAAGATTTAAAGGTACTGGCTAAGCATTTTTGAAACAAAAAGAGAAGAAAATACGCAAGTTCAAAATCTCTTGAGCTCTCACCCCTTGTTAGTCTTCTGAAGCGAAGTGGCCACTTTGACAATGTTCTCCAGGTCCTGACTCCTTCAAACAATGAAAAATAAACTCAAGTCAATGACAGTTGAGCTATGCTTAAAGGAACTAAAGTATCTGTGTTCAGTGAAGAAAGCAAAAGTCCATATGTTATCAGAAATTACTGACTTTAACTGAGTAACAATAGCCTATCACATCAGCTCACAGCATTCACACACGGGCACACGTGCACGCCAGTCATTCCACCCGGGCATTGCCTCTGCCATCTAGTGCTCGCTGAAATTATTACAGTTTCTCCTAAAGACGTGTATCAGCTTTGTGCAAGTTACATACTTAAAGGATATGGGGGGGAAATTCAATTAACTGCACAAGAAAACACAGAGTATGTTCAGAAGTTTTTCTATCAACCAGAGAACATTATAATGTCACTGAGCATACATCCTTGGGCTTCCCTGCTGGCTTAGATGGTAAAGAATCCACATGCCAATGCAGGAGACCTGGATTCGATCCCTGGGTTGGGAAGATCCCCTGGAGAAGGGAATGGCAACCCGCTCCAGTATTCTTGCCTGGAGAATCCCATGGACAGATTTCCATGGACGGCAGGCTACCACTCATGGGGTCGCAAAGAGTCGGACACGACTGAGCGACTAACAGTTTCAGTTTTCAAGGGACATTGAGCAACATATTCAGAAGATCAATTAACCCCTTATATGAAGTGAAAGTAGCTGTCTTCTTAGACTTCCAAAGGGAAAGAAAGTACATTTAAAACTGTAGGGTATGTGGAATCACCTGGCATGTAATGGACTTAAATCTTTATGTCATGAAAAGGAATAATTAGGGAAAACCTTTTAGGTATAGCTGAATTAAGACCTGTGTTTCATAAACAATACTGTATAGAAAGTTAACAGAGTTCCATGAAGAAAGAATTTTGTAGTCAACTAAATTTAGGAAACATAACTGACTTTTAGAGATTTGGAATGTACATACACAAGCATTGAAGGCTCTGGAAATTCATGATAGAGAAATCTATTCTCCTGTGTTTCCTAAATATGTTGGCCTTTAAATGCCTCTTTCCCAGAACATTCATTGATATCTTGTGGCACACGGGACATACTGTAGAAAATGCTGAGATACAACTGTACCTTAAGTCAGTAGGTACAAGGTACTCCCCCAAAAGGAAAGGTATCTGTGTGACATAAGTCTAAGAGTCAGGGGGAATAATAAAGAAAAAAAAAATGTATGTAAAGTTTTGTACTTTGAAAGTGTTTTCAGTTTAAAAAAATTGTTTAAAAGAAAGATTCATTATAATGGTTAAGATTGCAAATTAAGATGGGCTTCCCAGGAGGCCCTAGTGGTAAAGAACTTGCCTGCCAATGCAGGTAGACATAAGAGACATGGGTTTGATTCCTGGGTTGGGAAGATCCCCTGGAGAAGGGACTGGCAACCCACTCCAGTATTCTTGCCTGGAGAAGCCCATGGTCAGAGGAACCTGGAGGGCTACAGTCCATGGGGTCGCAAAAGAGTTAGACACAACCGAAGCAACTTATCCCACATGCACAAGATGGTAAATTAATGCTGTGGGTTTTACCATAAAAAAAAAATAAAACTGGCTTATCATATTGGTTGACTTATAAAATAACACTGTTCAAAAACCTATTTCAAAAATAGTATTTTTTCAAATAAATAAATAAAGATACACCTAAAACAAATACTAAACAAGATGGTATGTTTAAGACAATAAGTGTAAACCAGGACTGTCATGGGGAAATCTTACTCAAAAGCATCAATACAATTTGTAAGCCTTTTACTGATGGTGCAGGTGAAGTTCAGTGACTATCATACAGCCAATTCCAAGCAAAGGTTTTGTAGATGTTCAATCAGATGACTGTATTTCCACCTATTCCCTTACACATCAACACCATCTATGTCATAGTCTCTGGGACAAGTGTTAGGAATAAGGAGAGATTTTCCTGTATTAAGGGGTTTGATCTTATTCTGTTATAATATTCAGGCAATTTTGGTTGTTCTTAATGTAATGCTTAGAAAGAGCAATAAAAGGAATAAAATTATCTAAGTACATTTAAAAACATTTATTACCCACTATTGAAATCAGCTGGAAAACTGATTTTGTCTATTTTATTAATTTCATGTATGTTTCAGTGTTGTAATAAAGCATACTTTATCATTTATACAATTACATAGATATAGAGATATCAGGATAGATCATTGTACCTTATATTTCTTTCAGCAGATCTGTTGGCTTCTGTATATACACTTGGTTTAGCTGGATATGTCTGCCTATATTTTTCAAATTAAAGATAAAGTCTGTTAGGTAAGAAAACATTTCTCTGTTAAATTTAAATTTATGAGAAGACATTTACATTCAAAGAGATGAAAGTATGCTTGCTGGAGTAATAGCACTATGAAAATAAACTTCTAAATATGTTCATGTTCATTTATTTTAGTTTTCAGTCATCAATAAAGCACTTATCTTTATTAGATAAATACACTTATCTCTATTAGATAATGATACAATGTTTTTAAATAGTAAAAAATCATGTTTTGTTAGGTGTCAGAGGAATATCTTTTTCTCAAAGACTCATCCCATTTGAAAACTATCAAGAAATATGTTTGCTCAGATAATATGGTAAACACTATCATTTTTCCAGCACACCCACCACATTGGGAATGACCACACTGAGTTGTTAGAATTAAATTTTACAATGTTAGGTTCTGTAACAATTTGTAGTATAAGGCTTTTCTCGGCTTTTTTTCTAAGTATCTAATTGACCTACTTACACATCCTTGCTTGTTCTCAAGAAACTAAATTCAACCATTTTTTGTACTCCTGAGGACATGTGTTAATTACATAGGAAACACTTCCCTTTCATATTCTTTCATTAAAATCATCTTGCTGTGATTAAAGTAATCAGGGTTTAAAACATGCAAGTTGTCCTCATTTTATATTTAAGATCATTTGTGGAAGAAATAAATTAGAGTAGTAAAAACAGATTAGACCAGTTCTGATGAAATTTAGCTTCTTTTGAATCTATTCAATTCACTGCTTTAGAATCCAAGGTTTTGAATTTAGGAGGTATTAACACCAACTTTTTTTAGCCCTCTAAAAATCCTATTCACATTAATATTAAATTGCTCAATACTGTCAAAGTAAAAGGAAAAATTACGTAAGGTAGAAAACCTGAAAAGTGATTTTCAAGTGTATAATTATACCCATTGCGCAGATTAGAAGTCATAAATCTGGCTTATATTTTTCATTAATTCAATGAAGAAGAATTTTTTTTAACATTAAAAAAAAAATCATCCTCTCCTCCTAAGGACAAAATTTCAAAGATCCTGTGACATTTCAATGAATAGAAATTCAGACTTGAGTTTTTAACACATTAAGTTGAATGCCTAAAGCTACATAGCCCTGTCACGCAATCAGCATTTTCTGGCCAAAGTTATCCTCTTAATGAAGAATAGTTTTCCAATAGTCCTACATGTTGTCAAAAAAATCACCATCAAAAAGTAAAAATACAAAAGAATCGAAGGCAGGCCATCGAGTGAATCTAATGTGTTTAGTCTTCACTGAGATACCATTTTAAACATCTCTCAACAATAATGGAAATGTCTTGGAAAATAGCTTGAGATTAGTAAACTGTTTAATAGCAACACACGGGGAGGTGCTCAGATCTCCGAATTAGTTTCTAAGTATTTGTTTCTAAGTATTAATTAGAGAGCACTGCATTTCAAAATGGAAAAACAAGTCTGTCTTTTTTTTTCTTGATTTGGAGGCAAGGTAATTATAGCATTTTTCAAAATTTGTTATAGCTTTTAAATAAGTTACAAATGTCTCAATAAGACTAAAGAACTACCCAAAGGTATTTTCTAACATAAGGGAGGGTCTGAACAGTAACACAAAATTTTAAGAACATCTTTTGTTAGAAAATGTAGCTCTAAATGGGAATCTTAACTAGTTAAGGTATATATATATGTGTGTGTGTGTGTGTGTGTGTGTTTGTATAAATATATATATACACATATTTGTTCTTCTTGCTGTTGTTCAGTAGCTAAGTTGTATCCAACTCTTTGCAATATATATATATAATATATATATATACATATCAATATATAAGCAATATATATACATATCAATAAATGGGCTTCATTGGTGACTTAGTGGTAAAGAATCCACCTTCAATGCAGGAGACATGGGTTTGATCCCTGGGTCAGAAAGATCCCCTGGAGAAGGAAATGGCAACCTGCACAGTTTTCTTGCCTGGGAAATCCCATGGACAGAGGAGACTGGTGGGTTACTGTCCTCAGGGTCACAGAGAGTTGGACATGACTGAGTGACTAAACCACCACTGCCGCACATATATACATTATATATATATACAGGGAGAGAGGGGTTCCTTACATATTGGCTCCCAATACATAAAGTAGAGGAAACCTGAGTATGAACATCTCCTGAGCGTTATTATTGTTCAGTTTCTATCTTGAAAGTCTGTTTCCATAGGACAGGTAGCAGCGATAAGTATCCAGAGGCAAACGTAAATACACATTTGTGTGGGCAAACAGAATTAGAGCAGATTTCCAAGTGCTTCTGCAGTGAACCTGCACAAAAAATATACCCATGCTTTGCACAAGTCACAATTCATATGATGTCATATCCTTTAAACTTAATTTTGCAAGAAATTCTGGAATGCTAGGTCTTACCTATTATCCTGCTTCAGCTGGTTAGGAGATGAAACGGCAGAACTGGGCTTTGGAGGTATTGGAGGATGAACAGTTGGTTCCCTTTAGAACAGAAAACAGCAGTTCATTTCACCATGGAAACCAGGTAAATTTTAGCATCTATTCACCAAATGCCTTTGTTGTCTATGTGGAAATATCTCATGCATCTTACAACCCCTGTGCATGAGCTACTGGAAAGGCCAGGATGTTTGAAGTACTAAACTTTAAAGAAGTCAAATCTGTAAATTACAGGAAAGTTCATTTAATCAGATTTTTGGAAACCCTGTCCTCCCCAACTATAGTTTGAAACAATGTGTACTTTAAACAGCTTAGTAATTTACTAGACTATCTCACTCAAGTTGTGATATTTTGGGTCAGCAGCACATGAGCAGAGTAAATGGTTCCTGGGCTAAATTAACATATAAGCTTCTTTAGGAATTATGTCAACTATCAAGCTGCTATGGAAACAGCAAGAAAGGTTTTCAATTCCATAGACCTTAAGATGAAGTTGATTTGAAGCTCTTAACTAAATCCACCTTAAACATTGACAGCACAGGCCAGTTTGATGCTGGCAGAGCTCACAAACACTGTCAGCCTAAATTTTCCAACAAAGCACCAAGACAGCCTCTGAAATGGCATGATTTGATCACCCAGGAACTGAAACAGGCAATTATGGGCATATTTGGCATGGAGTTTGCACTTTACTTGGGTTTCCCTGGTGGCTCAGTGGTAAAGAATCCACCTGCAATGCAGGAGATGCAGGAGACATGGGTTTGAACCCTAGGATGGGAAAATCCCTTGGAGGAGGGCATGGTTATCTACTCCAGTATTCTTGCCTGGAGAATCCCATGTCCCACAAAGGAGTCTGGCAGACTACAGTCCATAGGGTCACAAAGAATCAGACACAACTGAAGTGATTTATCAAGCACTTTACCCAGGGCATATCACCTCCCTACCCCCGAACACCCACCCCAGTAGTTCCCCATAACCTTCAAGATAAATTCCATAGAAATACCCTGTGATCTCAACTCTGTACCTCTCTGGCTTCTGCTGTGCCCTGGGGAGCATGTAGACTCTGGAGCTAGGCTGCCTGAATTGCCAGCTATGTGACAAGGGCCTAAATTATTCCATTTCCTCATTTGTAATAACCCTTCCAACAGCACTGTGGGGGTGTTGTTGGGGCTGAATGAAATCATGCTTTTATTTAACACATTGGTAGCTTGCTATGCATGAGGCACCCTACAAAGTGGATAATTTCCCTGTTTTCAGAAGGTTTTCAATACACAAATAAATAAATGACAGATGAAGAATAGTACTAAGAAGCAAATAAAACAGTGAGAGAGTAAAGTGATGGTGTGGGAACACCTGTATGTGAAGTGAAATATAAGCCAAGACCTGAAGGAAGTGATAAACTGAGCCATGAGGCTGTTGAAGAAAGAGCATCATCAGATTTGAGATGGCATCTAACACTTGAAACTGGATAAGACCATGCAGGAAGTCAGTCTACATAGAGAAGGAAGAGGGCCAAGGGTGGAACCCCTGATCCCAGCAATATTTAGACATCAAGACTAATGGGGAGGAAACAGCAAAGGAATCTGAAGAGAAGCAGCCAAAGAGAAAAGAAGAGAAATATGAGAGTGTGGTGCCAGGAAGTCAAGTGAGACAAGTGTTTCCAGAAGGAGTAACTAGCCTTGGCAAGCCTTGCAAGACATTTGACGGATCAAATAAAACTGGGGTGAAGAGTTACCACAGTGTTGGCAACACAGGGGTCATTGACAAACCTGACGAACACAGTTCTGATGGAACAGTAGTGGAAAAAAAAAAAAAAAACCAACCTTCTAGGAGTGGATCTCAAAGAAAACAGGAGGCAGAGGGATAGACGTAGAGATTTTTTTTGAGACATTTTGCAGTGAAGAGGGAAGAGAAAATTGGGAAGCTACCTGAGGGTTGATAGGTCAATGAAGGGTACTAGAGTATGTAGATATGACGATGGAATGAATCAGGGAAGATGGCAAATTTGATGGTGCAGGAGAGTGAGCAGAAAATTCTTAGACATGGGAAGCAAGGAGGCTGAAGGCACATGCAGGAAGGTCGGTCTTGGAGGCAGAGAGAGAGAGCTCATTGAACCCTCTCTTCAACCCCAGAGATAAGTATTTTGCTTCTTCCTATTTTATAGATGAAAAGACAGAGGCACAGGAAGTGAAAATAAATACCCCGTGATGATACAGCTGGTAAGGGGCAGAGTGTGAAATCCAAACCAAGAAGCCTGGCTCCATAAACCATCCCCCATGGTGCTGCCTCTCAAGGACTCTTTGGGCAACACCAATGGCTCCGCTGAAGTCAATGCTCATGGAACTAAAATAAGGCTAATGCCCATTGCTTTCTTCTGCCACACTCGATTCTTCAGGGGCAGGAACAGATTGAACAGAGAGTGGATTTAAGGAAGCTTCTAATTCAGCCAAGAGAGTGCAATAAAGACTGATGACAAGGGAAGAGAAGGGGCATGTAAGGACGTGATTACAGTGAAGGGCTGTGGGATCTGAGATGGACATGGAGCGAAGTGAGGATGTGAGGGGAGAAGGGCTGTGGAAAGATGGCAGAATCAATGGATTGGTGGTTGTGGGACTGGAAAACTTCTGGAATCAGAGAACCGGAGGGATTGAACCAGAAAGTGTGGATAGAAAGTGAGTAGATGGAAAATGGAAGCCAGAAAAGGGAAAGCTTTGAAGTTTTGTAGTGTATATGGTTTCTTACAAGGGCAAAATCTGTGGGTGGCTGGAGTAGGGCAATGGACAAGATTGTTGGAGAGGAAATCAAGAAAGTGAAAGCCCAGGAAGCGAAGGATCCATTACACAAATTTGGGAATCATCAGGAATTACGAGGGCTTCCCTGATAGTTGAGTTGGTAAAGAATCCACGTGCAATACAGGAGACCCTGATTTGGTTCCTGGGTTGGGAAGATCTGCTGGAGAAGGGACAGGCTACCCACACCAGTATTCTTGGGCTTCTCTTGTGGCTCAGCTGGTAAAGAATCCTCCTGCAATGCAGGAGACCTGGGTTCCCTGGGTTGGGAAGATCCCCTGGAGAAGGGAAAGGCTACCCACTCCAGTATCTGGAGAAGGGAAAGGCTACCCACTCCAGTATTCTGGCCTAGAGAATTCCATGGACTATACAGTCCATGGGGTCACAGAGTCGGACACAACTGAGTGACTTTCACTTTCAGGCATTATGCTGGGAGGAGTGTTTGTGGGAGGCAGTGAGCCAAGTGCTGAAGTCCCCACAGAGTGAGGGTGAGTGAATCAGAGACCTTGAGATGACTCAAGGGAAGGAGAGACGCTCACAAGGGAATGGCTTCAAGGAGGACAGGGAGTTTTAGGAAGGAAGGAGAAATAGAAATTAGCAATAAGGAGCAAACAGGATCCCTCCCCTTCCTCCTGGCCTCGAAGCATATGGGATTAGAAGCTGTCATTGAGAAGGAGGCTGGGGGAGCAGGAGGGAGAGATCATTCAGTCAGAGATGAGACTGAAGAGGAGTGAGTTTTGACATTAACGGATGGCGTATCCAGGAAGGTTCTGCGGACCGGTTTGAGGGTTTGGGATGCTGTAGGGCTGAGTCAGGTTCAGTGATGCACAGAACTCTGCAGGGATGGTCCAGGTGACAAGAAATAATCTGACTGGGGTTCCCATAGGGATCCATGGCCCAAAGGCTAGGGGACGTGGTGGAATTAGTCCTGAAGCTTTTCTGGCCCTGGGTGAGAGGCAGGAGAGGAGTGGACACACAGCACAGTGGGTCTGCGGGTTCTTGTGTTGATGGTGGCTTTGAAGCCAGCAAGAGGGCAGTGCAAAGCTTTAGAGCACCGCCTGGCTTAGTCTAAGGGTTGTGGCTGCTGCTGTTTTCATGCCACGTGAACCCAGCGCTGCAGCGGGGCCAAACCACCGGCTCTTCCTAACCCCATCCCACCCCAACACCACGCTCTCTCTCCTCTGGGGCGTACCTCCTGCTCCTGTCCACCGGAGAGCCCTTCTTGCCCTTCAGCCTCTGTTTAGGGGTTACTGTGTGGAGCGGTACCCAGTGGTCCGCTGAACACTCTTCTATGTCTTCCCTTAGCACACCTTCATCACAACACATGCTGTGCTGGTCTGAATTGCACATAATTTTTTGTCTCCACCCTGGCTGGACCGAAAGTCCCTAAAAGGATAGTTACATACCAAGTACTATGATTGTACATGATGTTGGTGCCCCATAAAGAAGTGTTGGAAGAGGGAGGGATTGGCTGAAGTTTTATTTGATAAGAAGGAAAATGGGTACTGAACAGGAGTCTAAAGCTTTGAAAATCTGTTCAAGTTTACTCGTCCCATAGAAGTCCATTGTCCGTTGTTGACTCCACTACTGAGTACCTGATAGCTCAGTTGGTAAAGAATCCACCTACAATGCTGGAGACCTGGGCTCAACCCCTGGGTTGGGAAGATGCCCTGGAGAAGGGAAAGGCTACCCACTCCAATATTCTGGCCTGGAGAACTCCATGGACTGTATAATCAACAGGGTCACAAAGAGTCAGATACACCTGAGTGACTTTCACTTTCATCAAGTACCTGGTGGGCACTGGGAGCTCAGATGAGTTACTGTGTAATATGATATGCCTGCAAAAGTAACTTACAGGAAAACACTCTCCCCATTCTGACCTAATGTTAGATTTCACAATTAGATGCTCTTTTATTTGTATTGATTGTCATCATCTTCTCTTCTCAAAACATATCCCTGTGTTGCAGCAATGTAATGTCACTCAAATGATAAAGTGTCTTTCATGTATCTGAATCGACGAGCTGGTTATATGCTTCTCTTCCAGGGATAGAGGAAAGGATAAGAAGGTGGTTGGCCCCAGGTATTAATGAGTCTACACAGGGCACTGGATATCTGAAAACAGATAGGAGAATAGTAACTAGACGGAAAGGAGGATTACAAAAAAGGAGACATGGGATGGAGCCCAACTTTGCTATGCCAGAATCACAGTGATAAAAAGCTAAGTTTCTTCCACGTAAAGTGGTGCTAAGACACTTCAGTTGT